CTGCACCTCCTTTGCGGCCGCTGCCTCCTTTGCCACTCTGAACCCCATCTGGGCCTCCACCCTTCGGCGTGTATAGCTTCACCTGTCTGCTGCAGCGCGTACATTTGTTCGAATTCTGCGCCAACACGTCGTTCCACTCGTGCCGATGACAGCCGTGGCAAGTGGACTACATGCGAGCTGGCTGCTGCTGCAGAGGTACCGTATTCTTTGCCTTGCCCATTTCTCCCACACGTTGCCAATCCGTTGCCAATCAGATCGTCCGCGAAAAAACAGGGGCGGCAGGCTGATTGCCCCCCAAGCGCCCCGTGGAGGCGGCGGGAACTGGACTGAACAACCTGCCTCACACACGGAGGTAAGAGGACTTGGTGCTCGAGCCCAAGTTGCTTGAGGGAGGGGTGGCAGGGGGAGGAGGGAGGGAGGGAGGGAGGGAGGGAGGGAGGGAGAGAGGAGGGAGGAGGCAGGAGGGAGGAGGGAGGCAGGGAGGGAGGGAGGGAGGGAGGAGGGAGGAGGGAGGAGGTGGAGGAGGCGACAGAGGAGGTGGCATGTGCTATTCCCCTGCACCTGCTCCCAGCGTGACTTCTTGCATTTTCCAGCAGCATGTGGTGCTCGCGCCTTTGGCGTTGGTGTATATTGTACCAATGTTGGGCCTGCTGCTGCCTCTGCTCTGTTCTTCAATCACTGATGTTCCCGCTTCCCTCTCCATTTCGGTACCGAACCTCTCGCCACAGACCGAAACGAACCGAACCAAGGAGGAGGAGGAGGAGGAGGAGGAGGAGGAGGAGGAGGACCAAGGTAAGCCCAAAAATGTGTCTGCGACATGTGGGGGCTGCCACCTCCTGCAGAAAACGGGTGCCCCTGGACCACCCAGTCTCAAAGGACTCCCAAATGAGCTCAGAAACGCCCAGACCTCTTCGATCACCCCGTCCTCCTCAATCCTCGATTTTCAAATGAGCTGGTGACTGGTGACCCCCCCCCCACAGTGGCACAACGTGGACCCTCCGGGACCGGCTTTTCGGCCCGAGTCCTGTTTTGACGGCCCCTTCGCCCCGCGAGGGGCCACAGAGGTGGAAACTGGCGAAACAGCAAAAGAAACCTCTGTCGTGAGTTGTTTCACGACAAACTCACACTACAGACGTCTGTCTCGAGTGGCTTCACGACAGAAACAAACAACAGGAACTGTGTCGGGTCCCCACCCCCCCCTTGGGGCTGCCCCAGGGGGAGACCGTCCTCGGCCAGCTTGGAGGCGACCAGCAGCCGGGACGGCCCCGTGGCCGCGCGGGCGCCCGGCTTCGCCTTCGCCACCGGCCTGGGCGCACAGGGCGCTCAAAGGAGGGCGCCAAGGGGAGGAGGGAGGGGAGCAGAGGATCGGAAGAAGGAGGAGGATGAGGAGAAGGAGGAGGGAAAGGAAGAGGAGGAAGGAGAAGGGGAGGGGGAGCATGAGCAGGAGCAGGAGGAGAAGGAGGACGACGAGGAGGTGGCGGAGGAAGAGGAGGAGGGGGACGGGGAGGGGGGGAGGGGGAGGGAGGGGGGGGGGTCCCATCCCCAAAGTCCCCTCCTCAGCACGTGTTCTTTTAAATTACGGCGACTGCAGGCTTGAAAGGCGATCACCGACCTGGCGTTCAGGCGAGAGCCCCGCTGGGATGGGGAAAGCGCCCCACCCGTGTAATTTCATGAAGAATGATGATGAACGACGATAAGTGTCAAGACAACTGCAAACAAGTGCACCATTCTGAAACGGAACCGCCTCCACCCGAACTGTTGGTGCACTACATCAAGATTCGGGGGACAAGATCTGAGCGCCTTAAGCGAAAGGCTCGCCTAAACAAAGAGTGCCCCATATATGTTCGACTGATGCACACGTTAAAACTGCGGAACACCAGGTCTGATACTTCTCCAGCGGGGGCCACGTTTCGAACAGCCCCCCCTCCATCCGTGCGGGTGTTGAAGCCTCGTGACCACCCACACCATAGAAACCTAATGCTGCCTCAAGCGGGATCCCCATATTGACGAGGAATCGCAGTCCACCTGCGTAAGTGTTTTACACTCTGGAGACGAGAATGTGGGCCGCCAGGGAGAGGTCCAAACGTTTGAAAGCTACCCGCCATCCCTGCGTGCAGATGCAACGAAAGTTGAACATGAATGTGCAAATGTGCGCGGTGCTCAGGCGAGAGCCAGTTTGAAAATAGGCCGACCTCAATCCCTGCAACTCTTGGGAGATCAAATGGAGGACAAGGAATGGGCGGGATGGCCGGGAAGTGCACACACACGTGCGGCAATGGAGGAGAAGGAGGAGGAGGGGAGAGAGACAGAGAGAGAGAGAGAGAACTGGGGTAGGGAGGGGAAACGGTGCCGGGGATAATGGAGGATGGGGGAGGGGAGAAGGTAGAAGGGCTGATAGGAACAGAGAGGAGGGAGGTGGGAAGGAGGGAGGCAGGAGGCGACAGAGGGGGAGAAGGAAAGGTTGCATCACAATGGACAACCAGGGCACAGGCTAAGGACAATGGCCCAACCACAACACAAAAACAAATACTGGGCGGAGAGAGCAGGAGGACGGCCCCAGGGTAGGCACCACGAGAGCCTCACACGGCCGATTGAGAAAACCCTGAACCAAAGAACCGTGCTATCTCTTGGAAGGCCGATTCTACTTCCGTCAGTTTCCGCTGACCTTCCGCTGGCTTCCGCCGTCGGAAGCCGCCTCGTTGTACTTCCGCCGCCTTCCGCCGGCCTTCCGCCACCCTCCGCCGAGGAAGAGACGGCAACTCCTTCGAAAGTCGAAGACGCGGTCCTCTCTTGAGTGCCTCACGTGAGCCCATGAGGAGAGGGGGGGGGGGGGGGCATCGCCCAAAGCCTGCGCCAAACAGCATGGAGCTGCCAGGCCTCGACAGGTTCGCGGAGCGGCGCAAGAGCCTGCCGCGCTGCAGTCTACAGGCACGCGCTGGCTCTCCAACAGAAGCCTCCAGAAACATCACGAGGCCTCGTCTCCATCAGGGGGGGTGCGATGGCCGAGAGTGTGCCCGAGAACCTTCGCGAGTGTGGCCGAACCTGGCGCCCGATTTTCCCATGCGCGCCAAAGCGTGACCGAAATTCTTGGTTCGAAACCAAGACGGTTCTCAATGTAGGTAACAGTTTCGGTGGCACTACTTTTGGGTCACAATTTCGGGCACGTTTCGGACACCGTTTTTTCGGTCACAGGCCTTTCCGGCCAATAGGGGCCGGGCGCAACCTGATATTGCCACGAACCCCGACCTTGGAGAACAAGTGGGCGTGCCTTGCGAAGAAGAGAAAAACAAAGAAGGGGATCACTATATGGCGCGCCCTGCTGTGCTTGTGTTGGCTGTTTCGTGAGGTGCTGCATCCAGGGGTATTCTGCTGGTTCCCGTGTTGTCCGTTTGACGTTTTTCCATCTTGTCGGGCTGTCTCCGAGCATCTTCCAGGTTTGTCGGGTAGTGTTGGGGTCTTGTTGGGGGCTTGATGGGGCCACGGGTGGAGGAGGGAGTGGAGGGGGGAGGAGAGTAGAGAGGGGAGTGGATGAAGACAAGGGGGGAGAGTAGTGGGAAGAGGAGGGGGATGGAGGACGAGACGACGTCGAGATCGACGTCGACGATGACGACGACGGGTAGATGCACGTCGCACTGCGCCCGGTCTCTTGGGCTCGAGCGAGGGCACGCAATTCCTTGCCCGCGCGCGCTTTGCTCGTTCGAACCTCAATGGCCCTAGTGTCCCTGAGTCTTTCTCTGGGCGCGTCCACGAACTAGTAAGCGTCATTGTTGTTTAAAATATGGCTACGGTACCTTTTTTTTGCCGGGGGCTGGGCAGGGGAGCTGGGCACCTGCCCGCTCCTAAAGGGTGGGGCCTTATTTTGTTAACCGGACCCCTGGCGAAAGTTCCACGGTGAAAGCTGGTTGAGGAACGCCTCGTGGGGCTAATCCTGCGGAGGCTGGCGCGTCCTCGAGGCCGCGTGCTCTAGAGGCGCAAGAGACAAACTTTTCGAGCGTGATATCTGCAGGGGGCTGGGAAGGTTCTCGGTGATGGGCAACGTGGAGCCGTGAAATCTCTTTGGGGTTCGGGGGAAGATGAAATCGGCAAGGCACCAAGAACAAGGGGGTTCCCTAGTTGTCCGTTTCCCGGGTCGGTTCCTTAGTTGTCCGTTTCCTGGCTGTTGCCTTCAAAGTTGGACTGGATGTTGCCCCAACCCCCAGTGCCAGAATCGATCCACCAACGGCCAGAATCGACAGCATCGTGCCCCCAGCTCTAAGTGAACGTCGTCGTCGAGGTCGTCGTCGTCGTAGTTGTTGTCGGGAATGTCGTCGTCGAGGTCGTCGTCGTTGTCGTCGTCGTCGTCGTCGTCGTTGTCGGCCTTGTCGTCCTTGTCGTCGTCGTCGTCGTCGTCGTCGTCGTCGTCGTCGTCGTCGTCGTCGTCGTCGGTGTCGTCGTAGTCGTCGTCGCTGTCGAGGTCTTCGTCGTTGTCGTCGTCTTTGTGGTTGTCGATGTCGTCGTCGACGCTGGGTAGGCGTGAGGAGGTATGAGGATCATTTGTTTTGGTTCGCGCGTGACGCTCCGACAGGAGGCGCATTGAAAACATGTCTGCTCTGGCGAGCTGCGAAGTGTAGGCCTAGTTGTGGAGATTCTACAGGAGAAGCGCGAGAGAGGATAGGGGAAGGCGTAGAATCGGTGCTGAGGCCAAAGTCGAGGATGGCTTTCGTATGTATGTGGGTTGACGGTTGCAGCGGGTGGGGAGCTCGTGGACAAGGCGAAGGAGAGAAAGCTGAGACAAGAGACGACGACTTGCCAGGAACGAGGAGGGGTGGGCAGAAACAAGAGGTCGGTCGTGGCGTTTGTTGAAGCCATGCTGGTTCCCTGGTTGTCCGTTTGGATGTGGGAGTGGTCGCTGAATGACTGAAGTGTCTCTGGTGGGATATTGTGCAGAGGCCGTTGGCTTGGGGGGAAGGCTACCGCGGGCGGCCGACGCGGGCGGTGCCGGGCGCCTCAGCAAGGCGCGCTCATGCCTCGACCTCCTCCGCACTGCCGAAACTGGGTGCATAGCGCTTCTTCGTGTTAGTGAAGATCTCGTCGCACGCGTGCTGGAAGGAGATTGGGTCCCTCTTGCGTTTCATGGTTGCCGGGGGCTCATTCAGGCCTGCCTGCGCGAAGTTCAACTCTTTCTGCCACTGTGGGAAAGACGCGGCCTCTGGGACGGCCCACACCTCGGACAGCAGCAGCTCCTTTGCATCCACGTTGATGTGCGTGATGTGGGCGAGGGCGACGTGTTTCCGCGGGATGGAATAGCGCGGGAGCTTCGAAACGATTGCCGTGGTCGGAGCACTCCAGGTGTCATCCTTGGATTCCTCCATCGCATCCCGGACGGCGTTGACAATGGCGAACCCGTCATCGATGGACGTTACCGTCGGGTCGCGCACGCCACGGAGCAGCACCAGAGCTCCCGAAGTAAGGGTGGGTGCTCCGTTGCCTGCGGGATTGATGGCAAGGCGGCCGGTGGGCGACATCGACAGCCAGGTCAGTTTGGCGGGGAGGAGCCGGTCCTCGCTGGGGATGAACGTGGTGGGCGTGGCGGTGTCGAAGGTGCGGGGCTCTGCGCAGACGACTGCGAAACTTGGCGGCGCGCCAGCCTCCTTGCCGTCCTTGGAGGTGGCGTACCGGAGGCGCAGACGCGCGCGCGGGAAATTCACGGCGTCGGTGGAGACGGCATCAAGGAAGGAAGCTTTCGAATCCGACTCGGCCAATGCCAGAGCCGAAGATTCTGTCAGGTATGCCTGCACGGAGCCTGTGCTGTCATGCATGGAGGCCTTGGCGTAGATACGGTCCGTCCCCTTGGCGCAGAGGTGGTCGGGATCCGTGTCTAACAAAGCGACCGTGCAGCTGGGGGCCTCGGACAACTGCTCGGGCAACTCTTTCTGGAATCCCGACATGTACTCGAGGACCGAAAGGTTGCACCACATGGCTCGTCCCGTCTTGTAGTCGGTGGCGTTCCCCGCCGCTGACAAGGTAGAAGTCGCCATGCTGGCGATGTCGAGGGCGTTCAATCTGGCGGCGCCCGGGAGAGACCCTCCAGCTTTGGCGACGACGGTGGTAGAGCTGGCCGTCAGGTGGATGCCTCCGGATTGTTCTTTTGTAAGCCACGCGTGGAAGATATACACCACGTCGCCCTTCTCCGTCTCACTGATGATGCCGCGGTCCTTGTCCCAGAAATTGATTTGGAGGATCGGCCTTGGTCGTCGCAGATGTGGAGTTCGCTGATGTAGCTGTCCTTCTGCTTGAGGTCGCGTTTGATCTCCGCCACGCGCCCGTGGACGTCGAGGAGCTGGTCGCGGGAGAGGCCGAGGACGTCCCCGGCCGTCATCCTCGGCTCTGCTTCAGAAGGCAAGTTCTGGGCTTCAGTCGCAGACAGGCTCTTCGCGGTCATATTCTTATGGGTCAGGTTAATGGTGACCGGGTGTGGGGCAGAGTGATATTTCGAGTCCTTGGCCTTTGCTTGCATTCTGCGGAACTGCCAGGCGCTTCCGGGCGTGTACTTGTCCTGGAAGTTCTTCAGTTCCGTTTTTTGTTTGTCTGGCGTCCCGAAGAACAAGGCTTCCCCCACGATATAGTCGCCAGACTCGCTGACGAAGTATCCGCCGAACGCCGTCAGCTTGGCATTCGTCGGTTGCCTGAAGTACGTGTGGGTGAGCCGCACCTTTAGCGTCTGCGGGGAAGCGTTGGTCACGTTCAACGTCTTCACGGACGCCATGTCGCCGGGCGGGCGGGTCAGCGCATAGGAGCGCGCGGGTAAGTGGGGGCGGCTGCGGTTACTCCGCAGCTGGCGGAATGCGCGAGGGCAACGATGCTCGCTTGAGCCGGAGGCTGCATGGGCAGCGCATTCGCTTGGGGGGGGGCAGAATCACAGAAGAGATGGGCGCCAGGGGAGCGCAGGACGCGATGATTGGTGGACGACTCACACTTCGTCGCAGTGCGGTGGTGGCAAGATCGCGACGTTCAAGGGAAGCGGCCCGCTTCTGAAAAGCTCTCACGGGTCCAAGAAGGGGTCGCCGAACTTGATGCAGCCGTGCTGAGAAGCGTCGCGGGGTTTAGCGCGTACTCCTCGAAAGCATGTCACGCTGGGCCTCGTCCAAAGTCGGGCCCGGGTGAGGGCCTGCGGTGCGCGGCTGCGTCTGATGGTACTCTGGCATTGGGCGCGCGATCTCCACCGGCTCCATGGGGCGTGGTGCTGACGTTCCGCTCGATGGCAGGAGGTGCACGTGGAAGCGTTGGTAGCTGGCAGCAGCACGGCCACCGCATCTCTGGATCTCTTTGTTGGTCCGGGTGTCCACGCCGTCGATCTTTCTAGCTGCGAGCGCAGCGATGGCCGCGTGCTTGAAGGTGACGGTGGCGTGCAACGGGGGTCCGGGGCGGAGAACGGGCAGCGACTCCAGCGGGCCGAAGTTCATGAAGAGGTTGTTGATTCTGTCTGGCAGCGACGCCGCTGTATCGGGGCGGAGCCAGGAGTCTGGAAATCCCGTCACCAGGATAGTGCGAGATGGATGCATGATATCGTCTCGGTCATCATCGGAGCCGCCTGCACTGTCGAAGCTGGTGCCGTTACGGAAGGTGGCAACTCCGAGGTTGTTCTCGTATCGCGCGGAGGCCGGAGCGGGTGCTGCCGTGACAGGGTCGCTCTCGTCTCCTTGCCTGGTCGTTCTTCTGTAAGCACGAGCAACCTCCGACAGAGTTGATCTAGAATGCGTGCGCTTCTTCCCGCGCGATTTGCGGGGACGGCGTTTGGCCATGGCTTGATGGCGCGTGAAAGACATGAAACGAAGCCGATGGCTGAAAGCATAATGGCTACGGAACGGAGGTCGGGAAAACGAAGAGGAACAGACAGCTAAGGAAGAATACGTCGGGTACCTACGCGGCGAGCTCAGCACGTTGCCATGCGAGCCGCCAGGTGAGCTCAGCACGCAACCATGCGAGCCACCGGCATTGCCAAAGCGCACGTTTTCCAGAGAAGAGTCGAGGTTTGGGGAGCCCAGGGGCGTAGGTCCTGCCGGTACCCTTTGAAGGACACCCCCAGGGCGATGCCCCAGTCCTCGAGAGTGATCGTTGTGAGACCCTGGCGATGTTCTTTCTGGGGCTGCCATACTTGAAGGCCTGAAGTGAGCGTCGATTCCCAATTGTCCCCGTGCGCCGCGATCCAGCCGGCAATGAAGTCTCTGTTCAGGGTGCGCGGCCACTTTGTCGGCGGGCTCGTAGTGATGCACTGAGCTTTGGTGGCACGCAAAATCTGCGTGACGTAGGTTTCCCGGAGAGTCTCGTTGAAGCCTGTGAAAGGGATGCTGAAGGCCGCACACCAATCCTCAATAGTAATCTCGCTGTTGCCCTGTCTGGTTTTCTTATGGGCTTTCCAAGTGTGCAGGCTGTCAGAAACGGTGCCTTCCCAGGCAGAGCCTAGTTGGGCAACCCATGTGGAAATGAAGGATGGCGTCAACGTGTCTGGCCATCTCGTCGGCGTAGCCATGTGTCGCGGGGAGATCGGGAAGTAGGAGTCCCACGGAGTCGGAGGGAGCGTAGAACATGGCGCAGCAGGCCTGGGCGGGCGGGCGCGACGTCTGACCGAAACGGCAACGGATGCGAGTGGGAGAGGCTGGGGTGAGCTCAGCACGTTGCCATGCGAGCGACGGAGGGCACTGAGGATGAGAACAGGCGAGCGACTTGAGAACATGAAGCCGTGTGCGGTGAGCTCAGCACGCCACCATGCGAGCCACCGATTTTGATAGGGCCGTGCGCGTGTAGGTGAGACACCAACAGGGCAGCTGACGTTGGTTCCCGTGTTGTCTGTTTGAAGTGGTGACGCTTTGTCGGGGTGTCTCCAGCCATCTTGGAACCCTTCGGGATAGTATTGGAGCCCTCTGGAGAGCCACTTGTCAAGTAGGGGCCCTTCCGAGGCGAGCTCAGCACGTGATCATGCGAGCCAGTGGGGGAGGACAGGCGGTCGTCGCTTGCGAGAAAGAGAACAGCGGAAGATATGATGGCGTGGGGCGACGAATGCGAGGCGGGAAGGCTGGGGTGAGCTCAGCATGCTGCCATGCGTGCGACGGTGGGCAGTGAGGAGGAGAACATGCGAGCAACTGGAGAAGATGAAGTTGTGTGCGGTGAGCTCAGCACGCTACCATGCGAGCCACCGGCTTTCATAGGGCCGTGCGCGTGCAGGTGAGATGCCCAGAGGGCACCTGACGTTGGTTCCCGTGTTGTCCGTTTCACGCGCTGACGCTTTGTCGGGTTGTCTCCTGCCATCTTGGAGCCTTGTTGTGAGGAGGAACTCGTGGGCGGACGGACGACGTAAACAGGCGAGGCACGGAGTGAGCTCAGCACGGCACCATGCGAGCCACTCGTCAAATGAGAGCCCTTGCGAAGTGAGCTCAGCACGTGACCATGCGAGCCACTGGGAGAGAACAGGTGGCAGTCACTGGCGAGGCAGAGAAGAGCTGAGGAGATGATGGCGCTGAACGACGGATGCGAGGGGGAGAGGCTGGGGGTGAGCTCAACACGTTGCCATGCGAGCGACGGAAGGCACTGAGGATGAGAACATGCGAGCGATTTGAGAAAATGAAGTTGTGTGCGGTGATGTCAGCACGCCACCATGCGAGTCACCGGCTTTGATAGGGCCGTGCGCGCGCAAGTGAGACCCCCGGAGGGCACCTGACGTTGGTTCCCGTGTTGTCCGTTTCACGCGCTGACGTTTTGTCGGGGTGTCCTCAGCCATCTTGGAGCCCTGTTAAGAAGAGGAATTCGTAGGCGGACGGAGCTCGGAAACATGCGAGGCACGGAGAGAGCCGAGCACGGCACCATGCGAGCTCCTCGTCAAATGAGAGCCCTTGCGGAGTGAGCTCAGCACGTGACCATGCGAGCCACTGGGGGAGGACAGGCGGCCGCCACTGGGGAGCCAGAAAACAGCTGAGGAGATGATGGCGTTGGGCGAGGGAAGCGAGTGGGAGAGGCTGGGGTGAGCTCAGCACGTTGCCATGCGAGCGACGGAGGGCACTGAGGATGAGAACAGGCGAGCGACTTGAGAACATGAAGCCGTGTGCGGTGAGCTCAGCACGCCAACATGCGAGCCACCGATTTTGATAGGGCCGTGCGCGTGTAGGTGAGACACCAAGAGGGCAGCTGACGTTGGTTCCCGTGTTGTCCGTTTGAAGTGGTGACGCGTTGTCGGGGTGTCTCCTGCCATCTTGGATCCCTTCGGGATGCTATTGGAGCCCTCTGGAGAGTTTCTTGTAGCTTCTTGTGGTGCGTGTCCGAGGTCTCCTGGGGCGGTTTGATGGCGTACAGGGCCGTGAGGGTCGTGCTTGGGAAGGTGTTGAGAGGACGAACTCGTGGGCGGACGGAGGACGTGAACATGCGAGACACGAAATGAACTCAGCACGTCGCCATGCGAGCCACTCGTGAAATGAGAGCCCTTCCGAGGTGAGCTCAGCACGTGACCATGCGAGTCACTGGGGAGGACAGGTGGCCGTCACTTGCGAGCCAGACAACAGCTGAGGGGAGAATGGCGTTGGGCAGAGCCCTTCCGAGGTGAGCTCAGCACGTGACCATGCGAGTCACTGGGGGAGGACAGGTGGCCGTCACTTGCGAGCCAGACAACAGCTGAGGGGAGAATGGCCTTGGGCGACGGATGCGAGGGGGAGAGGCTAGGGTCAGCTCAGCACGTTGCCATGTGCTCGACGGAGGGCACTGAGGATGAGAACATGCCCCTGGGGCTTCCTGGGGCCCTCTTGGGGGCTCCTTGGGCCCTCTTGGGGGCCTCTTGGGGCTTCCTGGGGGTCTCTTTGGGCGGAGAGCTCGAAATATCGGTCCCTGCTACCCCTCTGGGGTCTCTCTTGGGGCGTTCCTGGGGCCCTCTGAGGCCGTCTTGGAGACTTCTTGGGCCGTCTTGGAGGCGTCTTGGGCCGTCTGTGCGCCCTCTTGGGAGCCTCTCAGGCTGTCTTAGGGCAGTCTTTGGGGCCTCTTGGGCCGTCTTGGAGCGTCGGGAAGCCGAAAAGGCGAAGACGCGAAAAACACTGAAAAACCAATAGGAAATGAATGAATTTGGACTCTTGGGCTGATTTTAGGGGGCCTCTTGGAGGCCTCCCAGGGCGTCTTGGGGGCTTCGTGGGCCATCTTGAGGCCATTTTGGGCGTCTTGCACCGATCTTTCGGCGACTCGTGGCCCTCTCGGACAATCTTGCGGACCATCTTGGGGCCGCCCGCGCCGCACGGAAGCGCGTCTGCCGAAGTGGGGCCGTCTTCCGCCGTCTTCCGCCGTCTTCCGCCGTCTTCCGCCGGCTTCCGCCGGCGTTCCCCCCGTGGCCGAGGGGGGGTCCCGGGGGGTACCCCCCCCAGACCCCCCCAGGGGGACACTAAACGGGAACCCCTCCTCAAGGTCGGGGAAAAAGGAACATCGCAGAAATCTACGGCTTGCGATCATCAGTGAAGCGTGGCACCATTGAGGCGGGCACGCGCTAACATAGATCACAGATCTATGGATCGGGGAAAATACCCAGCGAAACACGAGGCCAAATCCGCCCGATTTGGCGACTGAGCGCGCCGATGCTGCATGGAAGCCGGACCCGCCGCTGATCCACGCGCCTAAATCTATATCCACGCTTCCGCGAAATATCGGCCCTACCAGCAGCATAGTCGGCCTCATCCCCCGCTGAACCACTGCCCAACGGGGAGGGCGGCGGAACGCACCGAAGCGCCCCCTCCTCCCTGT